CGTGGATTCTTCTTCGTACGGGTCGTGGAGGTGTTTGCAATGCAAACTTGACTGGGCTCGTATGAGTCGTGTTACTATGAACGATTACGAGCATCTGTAAGTCCTAGGGCTGTAGACATGTTATTCCCAGTCCTCTGAATGTCAAGGATTTGATATAAACTCCCTCCCGTCTCTGCCATATCATCACCTGAGATTGATTTTAAAGTTAGACATGTCAATATTAGCTGACTATCAACTTCGTCTTTCACTGAAGCCCCTGATATGTTGTTTTAGTTTGTATTCAAGTTATACACATGTAGCAAACAGGGGATGAAACTCTAGGAAAGAGTTGATGACCATACCCCTGGAAACATTTTTCTTGGAATTCCCTGATATCTGGAACATGATTAATCAGTTGAATATTCCAGTAAAAGGCAACCGGCCCCCCTTTCCATTTTTCTGTGTTTTCATTCTGTCCATAAAAAGAGGCCCTGATAGGCATATTCTAGGCTTTTCCAGACCACATTCCTCAATAACATGGGAGAGTCTTAGTGGAAGTTTTTCACATAAAACCCAAAGGCATCAGTCGTTTAACCCACTGATTAAATAATCTTGATTTGCGTGGTTCTCATGTACAATCCTAAATTTGACTAAAGTAGGTCTAGTTTGGGTAATAAAAGCAATGTTGGGCTTGTTAGTTTATTTCGATTTTTCTAACTTTGCTGAGAGAATAAACCCCAGAACTATTCTTTTGTAAACTTTTCATTCAAGGCCCATAACTTCCTATAAGAAAATTTGGTATAAGGCAATACAGGGCTCATGATTAGGTTTAACTTTGCTTCTAGAAAACCTGGAGAGATCTTTTAAAAGCTACTAGGATGACATCTCACTTTGGTGTGATTTAGTCCTTCAACTTGGCATTTCAGTGGTGTGTATTGTTCGTGTTGTCATAGCACCAACAACCCGTTAGAAATGGGCAGAAGATTAATTGTGTTTGGCATAATTCTACAGCACCTGTTGTTAGCTTAAACTGTGATTTGTTTAAGATGGCACATTACACAGTTGCCAATATAAATGGTAGTCGAATATATGCTTCACAGCTGGAAGATATTTAAGACCCATGCATGTAATTAAGGTGACATCGCACCATTTGAGTTACAGTAAGCATTTTCCAAAGAAAGACCCAGCCTGGAAAGTTCCATCCTGCCAATTATACAGTTCCTCTTAATGTTGCCATAAGAAACGGATCATTTCAACAGGTGGATGTAATAAACCTTTATTTAAATTTTACTAGCAAAGGCGGGCATAAAATATCCACTTTGTCAACAGTTGGTTGAGAAAATGAGCAGAAATCAATGTTCCTCAACATGATTGGAAGGGATTGGCAAATTAAATGAGACTGGAATTAATAAAAACCTATAGGCAAGGTTCAACTTGGGAAACCTTAGGAGAAACATGACATAGTAAAGTTAAATTTACAAGTTTTATCTAATATTTTTCCAATGCAAGCCTTATCTAGAAGTTGCTTTGACTCTTCTGGGTTCGGAGGCAGAAACTTGGTGTGTAGTAAGATGAGGGAGCATTGCAGATGATTGTTGGAAGAAATAGACGCCAGATGCCCCCCCCGACGAGGTTTAACGAGGACCATCCAGAACGCTTCCTGCCCTGTCATGGATTGGGGTGATAAAGGATGAGCTTTAAAGTTGTCCTTCAAAGATTCGTGCCTCTTTCTACAGCCTTTTTTCCAGAGCCCCTTCCTGACGCTATCGCTGCTGCATCTGATCTCCGGAGTCCCGTAAACGGAGGACGAAGCCCAATTAAACCGACTGTAAAGTCCTGCTCGTCGGGCCAATTTCGTATCCGCTTATGTAATTATCACTTTTCACCACTTTGTAACTGGGGCGGAAGCATTACGCCGGCGATTTTGTGTGAGGAGGCAGCGCTTTGTCAGGCAGCCAAAGAATATGCTGAACAGTCCTCGCATTATCACCACAGCGAGGGGACTCCACGGCTCCTCTTGCACAATCCCACGTTAAGCTTTTACCTACCGATCTGTGCACATTAACTTGCTTCTTTTTCTTTTCTTTTTTTACCTCGGATCTGTTTGCTCCTGTCAAAGGTTATATATGCTTTTCAGAGAGCAGGATTAACAGAAAAAGTACGCAGAGATTTAAGAAAAACATGTGCTTTTTTTTCTTTTTCAATGAAACGGAAAATGACTCTCTCTGCACATGCTAACACAGGGAAGGCTAACAGAAAAATTGATGTGATGTCTTAAGTGTCACACAGCGGTACAAGCGTTGCCGTCCTGACTTCCTTGGAATGTGTCGCATGTCCGAAATCCGAGTACGGATGGCCAGTTTTTATAAACCCAAGAAGCTGACTAATCAAAACCATGAAACACCTCTGGTTCCTGTTCAATAAAACCGATCAATAAAAGCCCATCTACGTGAGCTGGCGGCTAACCTTGATTGATGGCATTTGTTTGGTTTTATTTCAATCCAAACAGTCCGAACTGTAAAAGGGCCCAACCGAAGAATGACACTTATCCCACCCCAGCTTGACTTGACTCTCCTTCCCACCCCCACCCCCATACCCCCACTCCATGCTGGTCTCTTGCTCGTGCCTCATCCCTTTTCCTCATGCTGACTCTCCATCATCTGGCCAGCAGAAAGCTCCTTATCTGCCGACTCCATTTCCTGTGTGAGACAGGGCCCCTGCTAGGGTACCGGACGCCCTCATTACATCCACAACCTGGAGTGTTTGTGTGTGGGTGTGGGGGGGTCGGGGGGGGGGTTAAATGTCTCCTGGGACTGTACACTGGTGTGGTGGAACTTCATTCTGAATGCAGCTGTTAAAAGTATTTCCACTAGACATCGGTGTGTGTGTGTGTGGGGGGGGAGGGGCAGTTTATGAGCAGCAGAGAGTGTGTGTTTGTGTATGTGTGTGTGTATGTGTGTGTGTGTGTGTGTGTGTCTATCATGTGCTTTAGAGAAAGCCTGTGTGTTGCGTGTACTCCCAGGAAGCAGCAGAGTGAGAGAAAGTGGGGAATAGGGAGATAGTGACGTTATTGACTTCCTGTTTTGGTATTGACTCGTGCCAAATGGGACTCAGTGAAGTGAAGCGAAGCCGCTTGGCAACAGCAGCCCCCCCACGTTTGATTAGCATGGCGTCTGTTATCAAATGGATTCTGGGCAGGCGAGTTCGAGGGGCAGGCATCGGCACTTTTCAGAAAAACATCAGTCCCCTCTGTAGGGTCAGCCATGTTGAACTGCTCCTCCATGAAACATTGCTGCTGTCCTTTGGATTCCCAGAATATGAATTTGGAGTCAGAACTCAGGCCGTGACCGGTTATTGTAGCTAGTTATTGATGGTAGGAGTTGAACTCGAAGCCAACCGCAGTGACACATCACAAGGAAAATGGAGCTGTTGGTTTTTCCTGTTAGATTTTTTTGTTTGTGTTTCCCCATCTGGCAACAGTGACTCGACCCCCCAAAACCCCCTCACCCAACTGTAGATGTTTCAACTGGGAGAATGAAACGGCTCTATCTTTAGTAAAGCCGCAGAAGGGGGAGTCCAGCTGGAGCAGCATCGTTCCTAGTTGGTACAAGCCCTCTAAGTTTGAGCTTACTGGCTAATAATTGTCTCAAAATGAGCCGGTCTAAGAGATAAACACTTTTAATGAGTGCCATCCATTGCCAGCTAAGCTTTAGATGAGTCAGAATAAACACCATGTCCTCATATTCTAGATCCACATCTGGCAAATCTATTCTGTGTTTTTGTTTTGATTAATAAAAGTAAAATCGGTTCATTTTATTTATTTTTTTGGTAATAGCAAAAATAGCATTTGCTCTTTTTAAACTAACCAACAGAGGACAAACTCACCTCAGTTAATAGAACTGAAATGAGGGCCACCTCAGTGTAGACGTAAGATTGTGTCTTTATGACACAACTCATCGTGAGTAACCATGAAAACGCACATCCTGCCGTAAACCTCCTCTGTACTGATGCTGCTGGCATGTCGGCTGAAGACTGTGGGCTGGAAACACAGCCTGAAGACAAAAAAAATGTCTAAGTGGCTCAAATGTTCATGGTTTATCGAAGTACATTTTGAGATCTGCTCCCAAAAATCGAACTGAAATTCTCAACGCTACAGCCTTTCTCTCCACATCAGCTAAAATACGGAGATAATAAGTATTTTTAAAGCCCTTGTTTGAGTTCAGCTGAAAGCAGAAATGGCAACAAAAAAAAAAAATCCAACTCGTTGATTTTCAGTGAGGTTTTTGGCCATTTCTTTGTGGAACTTTAAAGTCAGTTTAACTCTTTGGTTTTCTGAGAAGTCACTGTTGAGACGAGTGATGGACGGTCCAACTCTGCTGACCGTATAGTGCTTCTTGCTGGCAGGTCTTTGGATGATCGGGAGTGTGTTGGTTGCCTGTCTCTGTGTGGCCCAGCAATGGACCCCCTGCGGCCAACTAAGAATAAGCGGCATTGAAAATGGATGGATGGATAGTTGGTAAATGAATTCTTCAATTGATCCTTGCTTTCCCCATAGTTCTGTTTTTTGTTGTTTCTCTGATGTCACAGGGTTTTCCTGGAGCAGCAAGCGAGCTGCATTTGTCCCCTAATTCAACAAAGCCGGCCCCCGCTACAGTCGGTCAGATATTTATTTATTTTTTTGTTATTGGCAGCGATTGCTCAGCCAATGAGCACACCTGACCCCACACAGGAGGATTATGTAATACCAGCTGTGTTAGATGGCCAGGAACAACGGACTTTTAAAAAAGAAAACAACGTCTCGGGCTACTTGCATTGATATCAGACTTTTCAAGCTGGAAAGGAGTGTTTTTTTGGTTGTTTTTTTAAAGGATAATCAAGAAGTTCAAGGGAGAGGAGGGGGAAAAAAAGACAATTCCAGCCATTTCAGATGTGGAACAAGTCAGGCAAATATTTATTCGTCCTCCAGGAACTGAACGAGCTACTCCTCCGCAGCGAGCGTTCCACTGCAGCCCGCTTTGCTGTCGTGAAAACAAACTGGTTTCGTCCTCAAATTCCACTCCGGCGGATATGGCTCGGCGCAGAAAAACCAAACAAGACCGGCTCCTAGCAGGAACAGAGGGTCACTGCTTGGAGTTTGGCAGGCTGTCCTTAAAAGGCTAAGGGAGAAAGCACAGCTGTCAGACCACTGACATTTTTTTGGGGAAACCTGAGTATACATGACAGCAAATCTGACAGGAAGCTGTCTTTGGCCAGCAGGGAAGGATTAATGCTTCACAGAGCGGGCGACCCATATTAAATGCAGCATTTGAACCGTCTTTTAAGACAAGTTTTAAAGTCCAGTCGTTTTTCACATGTTGTGTGTTCCTGTTTTTTTTCTCATGATGGTCATAATAAAGAGCCACTGACATCCTTTGGTCAAAAAAAAGAACACAGAGAGACACCCCAGAGATTCCTTTTTCCTCCTAGAGTTTCCACAGACACCATCTCCAATTAAGTTCAAATAGGCCGGAGATGGATCATCCGAAGGTCCAGATGCATCTCTCGGGATGTATATCAGATCTATGTTGAGAATTTTCCTCTCTCATTAAGGCCTTTGCACCAGGATGCAGCTCGTCTGCTGCATACAAACAGTGTTTTGTTTGTTTGTTTTTTCTCGGCCTTCCACTTCCTCTTTCGTGCTCCAGTTTCCTCAAAATCTTCAACTGCCATCATTTTCCTATTATACACGGGTGGGAGGAAAATGCAGTTATTAAATTAATTACCTCTAAGTTCCCATCACTTTGGGCGTTTTGTTGCTTTTAACTTTACCAGTGATAGGTTAAGAATAGAAAATGTCCCTTCAGAAGTCTTTAAGTTGCTTCAGTTGATGAATTGGTCAGATAAGGTTTGCGGCTATTTTAAGAGAAAGGGTTTTTTTTCCAATTGATGAATATATAAGAATTCTCTGTTGACTTACATTCATGAAATCTGAGTTTTGCGGAACAAATATGTGAACAAGAGTAGTTTAATTGATAAAAAAATGGAACTTCAATTGATCATATGCGTTATTTTCTCAGATTTTATATATACTTTTACCATGATTCATCCCTTGAGGGAGATGCCTTGATGTTAAGTGATTTAGAAAAGATGCAAAATGCTCAATAAGAAGCCAATTTCTAAACAAAATACCTTCCGAAAGACCACTTTAAGAGATTGCAAGAAAGACTGATATTTTTGGACTTTTTTCTGTTACTCTTTGGTTTTAAGTGTACTTAGTTATTTAGTTTACAGAAACCCGGTCCCCATTTTAAGCTCAGTGTTGTGATGTAAAAAATGGCTTCACATGCCACCCTCCCCCTCCATGAGAGTGAAACACTGAGCGGCCTTGGCCCTGTCAGGTGCAGGCGTCCCTCATCCCGTGCATGCTAAGGCATCCGAACAGAGCGAGACGCTGCCGGCCCTCCGGCGTCTGAAAGCCCTGGCTTTGCTGAGGGGGGGACAGAGGCGTCCTGTCCTCAGGCCCCGGCACCCGTCTGACTGAACGTTTTGTGTTAACGACGAGGCCGCCGATTCCCAGAACTCGACTTCCTGTCTTCTCACGCGTGCCCCGTCGCCGTGCCTGACCAGAGAAGCGGAACCTCGTGTTTTAAAGCGCCAGCTTTCATTGCCTCTTCGGCGAAAATTGCCTTTTGTGATGGTCTTCTTGGGCCCGGAGGGGAGTGTAACTGAGTAGAGTGGCAGATAGCCCCTGATTAAACACATTTTCGTGATAAAAAAAAAAAAATAAAAAAAAAAAAAAAAGCTGTTTGGGGTCATTAATGTGTTTTTTTGTTGTTGTTTTTTTTTGCTATGTATCTAAAAAATGTCTTAAAATATACTTCACTTGATACTGATCAGATGACAGTGGCATTCACAGCCTGTTAAAAGGAAGTTTTTCCTTGCCTGTGTCGCCTATTGCTTGCTATGGTGCGATTTGTTGGGTTTCTGTAATTAACTTCAGAGTAGGGTCTGACCTGCTCTGTTTTGAAAGCGCTGTGAGACAACTGTTGTTGTGATGTGGCGCTATATAAATAAAATTGAATTGAATGTTGGATGGTCAGTTCATCATCTTCTACCTCGTTCTTTAGAGTTCTCACCACAGTAGATTTGCTATTTTTAATGCACTGACATCACTAGCTTCCTTTCGGCTAACAAATGAAGAACTCGTTCGGTTTAAATTTCAGAAAAAAAGCGGTCTGGCCACCAGTTACTGTCAAAGCTCTGCCCAGCCGTCGGGGCAGCTCTGCTCCCTCGTCTCCCTCAAACTGAAGGCTTGCTCTTTTTGTTTTGTACCTCCCTGTGTCTGTACGCCGTCGTCCCCTGGTCCTGCCGGACTGTAAAATGTCCCTCCCAAACTGGCTCACAGAGTCCAGAAGTTGCATCCAACGTGCTTTTGAGGCAGCAGAGGACACTTCCCGCGTGCGGTTTCACTTCCTGCCCCGTTTGACCTCGGTACGATGGGAGTGTGACGTTTTTTTGACTACAGTCTGTGTCTGTTCCAGGCCACCAGGCAGTTTCTGGAGGAAATCAACAAGTGGACCAGTCAGCATGGAGTTTCGCCGCTGACCAGGGAGTTGGCGGTCAAGTTCCTCATGGCTCGAAAGTTTGACGTCCTGCGCGCCATCGAGCTCTTCCACAGCTACAGGGTAAGAGGGCGGCCGGGGGAGGGACATCATCTGGCTCTGGCCGCGTAGAAACCGCCGGAAGGCGTCTGTTAGCATGTTAGCATTTGCAAAAAATAAACAGAACAGCAAGCCTACGACATCCGTTTGGTTTGAACGTTTAATTTAGCAAGTTTCAGTTAAATCTAGATGTTTTAAATCACAGCTGAGGGGTTATTTTTTATCCTACATTGTCAAAAATGGTTTCAAAATAGTTGTGTCCTAGGGAGGGTAGAAGTACTGAGAGGATACAATCAGGGACTGGCAACAAAACTCTGCTCAGGTTAGGGTTGTCAAAAGTATCGATACTCAAAAAAGTATTGATACTAAAATGTTGTATCCGGATACTCATTTTCAAAAGTATCTTGCGATGCTGACCTGCCGACGCTGCGCCCCTTCTCTCAGATTTATTTATTTACATTGTTTATGATCATTAACAAGACGTTAGCCTTGAATTGCTAGCTGCAGCTAATGGCTAATAATAACATGCTACCATTAGCCAAGTACATATCCAACTCCGCCCTCATCCAAGTCGGCCATTTTGATTAGGTCACCAATAGGAATATCCCAGGCAAGAAAATCCTGATTGCTTCATGGCAATATAGACATTAAATTGAAAATAGTTAAATGAATCTTGCAAACACTGAATTCAACCCTATCCATAATATTATGTTAAAATAGTGGATGTTAAATAGGTTTGTACAATAAGGCCAAACAAGTTTAACCAAAAAATATTTATTTTTCACAATTATGAAGGGTGGAGGGTTAGGGTCAGGGTCAGGGTTAGGGTCATTAATGTGGGCCAGCATAACATCAGTAACAGGTCAGTTTGAAATTAAAGACACTAACCTGTCAAAATTCAGTTAAATTTTGGGGTCTTTGTTTTTATCCTTGTGGTATCGAAAATGATATCGAGTATTGGTATTGAGTTTCAAATTTTCGTATTGTGACAACCCTAGCTCAGGTTAGTAGAAAGTTTACAGCCTTGTTTTAAACTTTAAATTTCGGACACGGCCAGCAGAATCCCGACTAGCCAAGGATTCTTGTACGAGGCCAACGTAGAAAGAGGAGCTCCACCTGAAAACGAACGATGGCTGCAAAAACGTTCGAACAAAGAGTCCGAACAACGGCCTAGAGTCGATCCTTTCTTCGTAAAGTTTAAAACATTCTGATGCTGATCCAGCTGCGAGCGGGGCGTCGCACCTCAAAGCCGATGAGTATACGCTGTGTTCCGTTGGACCCCAGCAGGCAGGTGCTCATCCAAAAAGACTGCCGCTTCTGTTTTCCCCTCTTTTTTTTTTCTCTCAGGGAAAAAAAAGAAAAAAGAAAGGTCACGAGTGGGTGAAGGGAGCCCTCGGTGACAGTGACACTCTTTCATGTGCTACAAAAAAAGAAAGCCTCAGCTGCCCAGATTCATGCCATGCCGCTCTGTACCAGGTTGCTGAAAACCTTCAACAGAGGCAGTAAAGCTATTTTTCCGTTTATTTTTTAACTTTTTTTTAAATCCCGATTTGTAGTAGATTGTTGCTTTATGAGTCACTGTGACACATTTCATCAAATGTTAGAACGAAATGAGTTGTTAAGATACGGAATCAAATACACAGGCTGACCCAAAAAGGTGGAAACGCCGAAGTTTTTAAGAGAGGCGCGGCCCTCCCTAAAATGTATTTTGAGGCGTGAGCTCTCCTGCAATCGAAAACCACGCACACACTTAAAGCTGAATTGTACACCGAGAGAAAACGTGGGCGTTTTTGGCTTTTACGAGAGCTTGAGCTGATCAGAAAATGTGGGTTTTGTTTATTAGTTCTTTTATTTAAAATGTCAAAAATGAGGTTCACGAATTAGTCAAAGTAGGAACATGAAGACTCTCTTGATATTAGCTTCAGAATGCACACATATCTGTCTAACATGTTTGTTAAAATAAGTCATCTTAGATTATTTCCACGCATAATGAGGGTTCTACCTTTTTTTTCTTCTTCTTCTTTTTTTTTCTTGAGGGATTTATTTTTCCGAAAGCCTTTTATTTTTTTTGGGCCCAACAGATGTGAGTCCCAAGTGGACATTGCTGATCCTCTCCGTTTCTGCTTCCTGTTTGTTTGCTGTTCTCTCCGCCGCCCCCCCCCCGAGAAAACCATCAAGGGGAAACTGGCCTGAGTTTAAGCTAATACACTTATGTCCTGTATATGTCAGCTGGGCGTGTTAGGTGTCAGCCATAGGGGCAACTTGACACCATATCACAAACAGAGAGCCTATAGAATGGCTGTATATTGTCAATAAAGGGAAGATGAGGGTTAGGATCAGAGCACCTCGCAATAGCAGCCCCTGTTTATTTCATGTGTTTTAGGCAGAGGTTAGAAACCTCATTTTCTGTTTGATTGGGTCCCAAAGTGAGATTTACCAAACCACCAGCAGACGGAAAGTTTCCAGACATCTCGCACGCGCTCTAATGGCGGGTTTGCACCACCTACCTTTTTTAAGTCCAGTCGCTTCAATCACCGTGGTCGGTTCTTATTTCAGCCGGTACTGGCTAAATAGGATTTATTCATGAATGCCTCCAATGAGGTTGTAAGGGATTAGCCTGCCCCGCCATGCCACAGCCCATTTCGCTCCGTTTGTGCTGCGTCAGCACCAGGACGAACGAGGGTAATTTGTCCGAACAAAGTTAAGAGGGAGGGGGGGTGGCATAGAAACTGTGGGCGCTTTGTTCAGAGATCCAGGTGAATTGTTTGGAAGGCTTTGCCCAAACTTTTGGCAATCAAAATGGGTGCTGAAGGTAAGCTGAACTTCTCCTACTACTCTGTCCTGTCACAGATGAAGCTTTCTGTCCATTTGAAGTAACAACGGCATGTGCATAACTAGTCCAAAGTCTAGTGTTAAATCGTGGTGTGAGGGCAGACCATATGAAACAGGAAGCAAAAATAGATTGTCAATGTTTCAGGGTGCTTGAAATAAAGGAAGTAGATCAAAACTTTATAAAATAAGTCTGTTATCCTGTTTTTGTTTGTTGTTTTTTTTTTTCCCTTGTCTGCTGTAGTTTAGCAAAAAAATGTTGAATCAACACATCTGTTCCTGTTCCAAGTTTGCAAAATCAGCTCCTTGAAAAAAAAAAATAATAATTTGTGGCCGGAGAGTCCCGCGGAACCAGGGGACACGACCTGGAATGTCAGATGGCGTTCTTCTGGGGTTAGACTCGCACACAGAGCAGCCTACCATAACTGATGCGCACACTAGCATCCTGGATTTGTTTGGTTTGAGCCATTTTCCAGATGTGAAGTCAGCGTGGCTATTTATAAGCCTGTACATAATCATCAAAGGCAGTCATTTGCAAATCCAGTCACAAGATTGACACATTCATGTAAAACTATCCGGATCATCACTATTTTTCCACAGTGTACGTTTAAATGACTCATCCTGAGCACCTCAGGAAGAGATTTCCAGGTTTTTTTTTAAAGGAAAAAAAAAAAAGGTTGAAGATTAATCTTACTTGAAAGCGGGCGGGCCGCTCTATTGTTCCCAGCCAATTGCCCCAACAGCTCGGCCTCACCTGCTGTGAACTGTTTGTGTCCAGGAAACGCGTCTTAAAGAAGGAATTGTCCGACTCCAGCCTCAGGAGGAGCCCCTGCGCTCGGAGCTGCTCAGCGGGAAGTTCACAGTGCTGGTAAAGCATCTCCTCTACACCCCAAAGAAACAAACCCCACACATCTCCCATCATTTATTTATCAGGCCAGAGATGCTTTTTTGTTTAGTCTTTTTCCTTTGGGGGTTAGGATTCATCCTAACCTTCCTCTTGTGACAAACAGTGGGGGAAAAGAGTATTTGACCCCTTAATGATTTTGCAGGTTTGCCCACTTACAAAGAATGCAACGATCTATAACTTTAATAGTATGTAGATTCTAACAGTGAAAGACAGAATCCCAAAGAAAATTCCAGAAAATCACATCATATGAATTTATAAAAATTGATGACCATCTAATGAGGAAAAACAAGCATTCTTTGTACGTGGGCAAACCTGCAAAATCATTAATGGGTCAAATACTTATTTCCTCCACTGTAATGACCTGTTGGTTTTTGCTCTTATCAGTTACTCTAACTGGGCTGTTTTCTTGTTTAGTTTAGTTTTTCTTTGTTAGCACAAGTAAACTAAAACAAGTTTACGCTGGAAAATGAAACAGGGTTTATTACTGTTTTAAGATACGCTGGACATATTTAGCCTTTAATAATCCAGATTACTACACACACACACCCCGAACCGCACACACACAGAGACCCACTTTCCTGCGACCCCCCCCCCCCCCCCCCCCCCCCCCCCCCCCCCCCCCCCCCCCC